CGAGGGGAGTCAGCCTCGCCGCGTCGGCACACCGTGCTGGGGGCGCGTCGCCTTCGGTGCGCGGCGCCTTCAGCGCGCGGTGCTTGCCAGCTACGGGGGTCGGCTTGGGGCTGTCGGCAGGGGCAGCGCCCCCACGACAGGATGTGGAATAAAACGTTTGGAGCTACTGGCCCCCAGATCTGCGCGGGCTTCCCTCTCCTGGTGCCCTTGTTCTTGCCTTGCCCTCCTTCCCCTGCTACGTTTGTGGCTCGTAGTCTTTTGGGGCCAAGCTGGGGATCGGCCCCAGGTGGCCCCAAGGCCTGGGCCCCGAGCGGGGCCCGGAAGACGCGCGCGGCCGCGCCGTGGTGGGGCTCAGCGGGGGCGACCCGTGCGGACTCGCAGCTGGGCGCCGGGCGGCGCCAGCTCACGCCAGCCGCAGGGCGGCTGCCCAGGCAGAGGGGGCCCGGCGGCAGAGGGGGCCCCGCGGGCCAACAGCGGGGTGCCACGCAGCCTCGTTCACGCTGGCCGCGAGGCACCCCTGCGCGGTGCCCAGCCCCGAGCACTGCGCGCCTGGCCGTTGGCGGCCGGGCTGCTCGCGGGGACCCTCGCGGCGCGTCCTGGAGCTTCCCAGGCGTGCGATGGGTCCGCTCCCATCCGGAGCCCTACGCGTTTTCCGCACTGCGACGGCGCCGCGCCGCTGGAGGACCCGCAGGTGGAGCTCGGCGGCGACGACAGCGGGCCCCCGCAGGACCTGGGCGATGCCCCGCCAGGTGCGCACTGTGCCGCCGGCCAGGCCGCTGGACTGGGGGCTCAGCCAGACAGACCCAGGATCCCGTGACTCTGAGACCTCTTGGATCGGGGGATGGGGCGACTGGTCCTGAGTTGGAAGCCCGAGTGCAGTAGGACTTTGCGGATGTCGGAGGGTGTACGTGGCAGGTTTTTCGAGGCGGCGGGGGCTTCTCGCTGGCGTTTTCCATGCGCGAGGACCACGAGTGGCTCAGCTCCGACGGGGGGGTGGGTCATGTGCGTTGTGGAACAGTTGGGCGGCTGCCTCTTCGGCGCCGCCTGGCCCGTCGCAGCGACGCTCCTCGGGCTGCTGAGCGCGATGGGGATCCTCGCGCTGGTCGCGCAGCCTCCGCGCCATCTTCGAGCCCTGCAGCTGGGTCGTGTGGGCGGTCAGCTGGGTGTTCTGGCTGTGCCCCCCCGCAGGCGTGCGCCTGGCGATGCAGAGAAATATGTGCTACTGCCGCCGGCGCCGCCGCAGCCCGCGGGCGTCAAGTGGTGCGGCCCAGCAGCGGGGCCCGACACGACGACCGAATGCGACCGCGTTCGGGCCAAGGGCTGGGGTTCCAATCGCAAGGTCAACGACGTCCTGATCCAGCACGAGGGCCAGTTCGCACGCGTCCGCCCGAACTTCGACGAGGTCAAGCGCGTGGGCCGCAGTGGTCTCTGGGTGGGTTTTGACCTGGTCAAAGTTTGTAATCGCCAGTCTCGGGCGCGCCTGGAGGAGGCCGAGCCCCGCCGCGTCCACCTCGACCGTTCCGCTGGATGCCCGGTCCAGAACGGGGAGCTCCGTTGTGCCGAGCATGCTGTGGTGGGCGCGGAGGGGATCGTTGACCTCGGGGCGCGCGCAGTTCCTCCCATGCCGAGCCTGCGTCGTCTTCTGCTAAGGCGTAGGCTGGTGATGCAGGCGTGCCCTGGCTCTGGCCACGCGCCGTGGACCTGCTGCAGGACCTGCGTGGGGGCCCTCCCGGGGGCGCTCCTCTGGTGCGTGGCGAGTCGCAGTGGTGTGGCAGTGGTCACAGTCGCGCAAAGACGATGGCGCAAGGGCTTCTCCCCAGCCCATCTGAAACCTCCTCTTCCTCCTGCTCCTCCGCCTCCTCCTCCTCCTCCTCCTCCTCCTCCTCCTCCTCCTCCTCCTCCTCCTCCTCCCCCTCCTCCCCGCAGGGGTCCCTCCGCCTCTCCCCTTCGCACGCCTGTGTTGCCTCGGTTCGGTGGGTGGTAGGGTGGGGGGCAACACCATCCTTTCGGCGGCGCGCACGGGGATTGGGGGTGGCGCGATCATGGCGGCCTTCTAAGAAGGCGCGGGAGCCTTTGAGAAGGCAGGGGCCTCTTTTTGTTTCCCTCGCGGCTTTGACGAGCCTTCTCAGAAGCCTTTGGGCCCTTCTCAGAGAATCCGTGCCTTTTTAGAAACTCCCACGCCTTCTCGGGAGCCCGCCCCCTTCGGGCCGCCCCCACGTGCGCTCCGCCAATCCTCCTCCTTCTCCTCCTCCTCCTCCTCCTTCTCCTCCTCTCCTCTCCTCTCCTCTCAACTCCACTCCACTCCTCTCCTCTTTCTCCTCTTTCCTCTTACCTCTCCTCTCTTCTCCTCTCCTCTTGCGTCTCCTCTCCTCTCCTCTTGCCTCTCCTCTTGCCTTTCCTCTTGCCTTTCCTCTCCTCTCCTCTCC